TCTTGAATTTTTTGATTAATAAAAAATTCAAAAGTTCGAAAATAAGAATTCGGGTAATTACATACAACTTATATATAGTATTTAAAAAAAGTTAAAGTGTTTTTTGAGAGTAAATAATTTAAAATTAAAAAAAAAAATGCATTACTACACCATTTAAAAAAAATGGAAACGTTTAAATAGGAAACGTTAAAAATACATTAACGATTGTTAGAGGAAACGTTTGTTACTTCATAAATTTGAGAGTAAACATTTGTTACATAGCAATACATTAATAATTGATTGAATAATTCATTGTTATTAAACTTTATCATTTTTTTTAAAACTAATAATTAATAATAATTACTTAAAGTCATTAATACATTAAATAATCAAATCAAATCAAACCAAAAATATTAATTCAAAATAAATCCAAACCAAACCAATATATTAATACATTAAATAATCAAATCAACAATACTAACTCAAAATAAATCCAAACTAAACCAATATATTAATAGATTGAATAATCAAATCAAACCAAACCAAAAGCACTAATTCAAAATAAATCCAAACCAAGCCAATACATTAATACATTAAATAATCAAATCAAATCATTAAATAATCAAATCAAATCATATTTAGTGGAAGCCTAATATGGAGAAATATAATACATGTCAAATTAAAATCGAAGTGGGAATATGCCACAATGTTTGACTTTCCAGGGAAAAATACTTTTTAATATATATTAACCACTTCGAGCTAATCCTACTTGCTTAATGTATAAAATTTTGTCCTTTAATTTTAATGCTTTTTATCACTTATACACACTCTTAAAATAATTTACAAGAAAATCTATTATATATACCCTTAAAATTATGAAAAATTTAGAATTACATTTACATATTTTTCCACACCGCCAATAATAAGCTTTTTTTTTTTTTTTTTCAAATGTTAAAATGTTTTATTTGAAATGTAAATATTAGAACTAATTTTAAATAATAAATTTCACCAATTTTTAAATTATTCAATAAGTTTTAATCCAATTTTGCCAAAGAATGAAAATATTAATAGAAAAATTTTACAAATTAAATTTATTTAATAGGTTTTCAAATTTATAAAAAAAAAAAAAATTAAAAAGTCGCCAATGAGGATTTTTTTACATAGAGACAAGATTTTCTGGTAATATTAATATGTCTTCCCCATACTAGCAATTAACATTAATTTTTTTAGTGATTTTTATTTTTATACACAAATATTAATTTAAATATATGTTGTTATAATAATTTTTGAAGTAAATTAATTTTCATTTTTGAAGTAATTAATTTTCATTTTTTTAATTATTCACTATTTAACCGACTTAATATACAAATTGTAACATTGAATAAAAAATTAAAATATTTAATAGATATAATTTTATAAATTTAAGTGTTGAACATATAAAATTGAAAATTAAATGGGTATAAATTTATGCATTTGGCCTAAGAATCAATAATATGGACAAGGAAATTTAATTGCATGTTCTTAATTTATCGTCCCGTTCCAGTCAGTGGTGCCATCAGTCATTATGACATTAATATTTCTATAGCTACCCGGTCTTTGTGCGGTTAAACGTGCAGATCACTCATTAATGCTTGAGATTTTTATGCAGGTGGTCCTAAATTTATATCCCGAGTCAATATTTTGTTTTTGTATGTTTATGTTTAATCTAATTTGAAATGGAATTTCTTCTAAAAAAAATTTTTGAAATGGAACTAATCTAGTTTAGAAGTTTTTTCTGCTAATTATTTATTTATTTAATTAAATTTTCCAATTCTAAAAAAAGAATAAGAGTGAATTACTTTATAGTATTTGAAACTAAGCGAAATTCTTTGTTAAACTCGTGGTGCATCCTTTGAATTAATGTAAGAATTTAGTAACAAATCTTATTTAATAGTAGGAGAAAAATATATTATTTCTTTCTATTTTTTAACCAAAAAAAAAAAAAATACCAGTCTCTCACTACTAGTTAAGAAAAGAAATCTTAAAAAAATAAAAAGAATTAATCATGCAATTAGTTGAAAAATAAATAAATACAATTGTCGTTGGTCCTATGAAATAAGCCTCTTCATACATTTCCAAGCTACTTCAGAAAAATTTGGATGATTCAAATGTCTTATAATCAGGAGTTAGGACCCACCTTAGCAAGATTTCTTTCTTGCCAATTACAAATTAAAAAACTAGTTCTAAATTATTGCTCATCTAAGCAAAGAATGAGAGTGCTTAATTAACTTGTTAACGGATTTTGTCTCTTGAGCCTTGCAAAACAAATTCTTTACCCCTTCTGTCACCTTTCCTAGACTTCCTCTTGTATAAGGAACTGTTCTTTGTTAGCCAATAGTGGAAGGAGGAGACTTGCGGCTGCTTTCTTCTCTACACTGCAATTTCCCATTGCTTCTGCTACGAGTCCTAATTGTGGAAGAGCTTTGCCATTTTTTATTCACTAGTGTTGGAAGGCTTGATTCCTTATTTCAATAATTGTGGAAGAGCTTTGCCATTTTTTATTCACTAGTGTTGGAAGGCTTGATTCCTTATTTCAATACATTTAGTAATAGATTTAATTATTTATTAAACATTAAATGTGAGTAATTAGGCTAATATTATGATGGTAGAATGTTCCTACATCTTGCTTTTTAGGGCAAGAGATTAAGAATTTTGAAATGTACCAACAATGTAGAACAATTAAAGATGAGAAGTTCCAGAGATTACCAAAAATAAAACAGTAGCACAGTGCTTTAGGACCTCTAAATTCATGCGAACATCATCAAGACTCCTGTTTTTTATACATGTGATTGTCATCATCAGTTTCTTATAATAGAAAACAGAAATCATATACATTATTCAAATAGTTAAGTTATTGTGTTACAATTACACGTGAATAATCAAGTATCTATCTCGTAACAGAGAATGTAAGGTTCACTCAAATCGTTATAAATCTTTTTCCTTTAAAAATTTTGTATGTATCAAAATGAAAACTACATATTTGATTCTGCAAATACCTATGCTTTTGCTGCCCAAGCTCAAAGTATGTAGCCAAAGTTGCCATCTGCAAAAATGAAAAAATAAGTCAGGAGATTGAGAAAATCCTGACTTTATCATTTTAATTTCTGTTTTTGGTTTATTATTATTATTATTATTATTATTTTCTAAATACCTCAAGAATTATTATTATTTTCTAAATACCTCAAGAAGTGGATTGGAAATCTTTTATATATATATAATTTTTCGTTTTTTACATGTTGCAGCAACTATTTTTTTTATATAAACATCAAATAAAAATTGGAAAACAAAAACCACAAGAAGAAAAAAAAAAACAAGAAGAAGAAGTGCTAACAACTGAAATATTAGATACGAAAGATCACAAAATTGTAAGCATACCTTTAAATTACCAGCTCTTTTACCAAACTTCTCACCCAGAACACCTAAAGAATCAATCATACCAACAGGAACAGGTGCAGCCATACCAATATCTGCAAATGCTTCCTTAATTCGTATACAATCAAATCTTTGAATATTATGCCCTGCCCATATTCTCCCATTCAAAATACTGAATATCTTATCTGCAACTTCTTCAAAAATAGGTGCATTAGCCACAGCTTCTCTAGTTATCCCCTCACTTCTGCTAGACTTCAATGCAACAACAGATAAATCTTTAGGCCTAATTAGGGTACTAAAACTTTCTAATTCAACAAGTTTTCTTGGACATACTATAATTGCACCAAATTCCAATACCCAGAATTTTTGTCCAATTCTATTGGGTACTGTTGTTTCTAAGTCAAAAAATACAATTTCTGTTGCAGAAGTCAAATAAAATACAATTTCTGTTGCAGAGGTGTCCATTTAGATTTTTTTTTTTTTTTATGGGTTTTCTTCTAATTTTTTTTTTATGGGTTTTCTTCTAATTTTGGTTTCTGGGTTTTGTTTTCTGATCATTCTGGCCGTCATCATTATAAAGAAGGAAGAGAATTCTTTCCATTTGAGTTTGATTGACTTGTAGTTAAAGTCAAGAGCTCAATTAGGGTTTCCATGGGTTTGTATTATAGCTTTTGATTAGCTTCTCCTTGGGGATTTGCAAATCCAGTTGGATAGGAATATTATGTTGTACAGAAAGTTAAGAATAGCTTTTTCTGAAACTGCTTGTTGAAAAAAGTTCACAGCTTTCTTCAAATGTAAGACCAGGCAATATTGAACATGTTGCCATATTTGTGGGAAAAAGGAATTGATTCTTCAATTCCTTAATATCTTTGCATAACTTGGATTATTTCTCGTCCTAAATCATCTTCTTTCCTTTGCTATGCACAAGGGAAATGGCAATTCTGAAATATTATACTTTATAGGCTGTTTTGTTTATTACAGGATTTGGAATCCCCTTTCTTCATTGAATGAGCATCTTTGAGACGAGCAAATTGACAGTGGGCAAAACATTGATATAATGTAATAAGTTAAACCCAATGAAATCGAACCGAAAGTAATGAAACTTTTTGTGCTTCTGGTTGGGTGCCGGTTGTTAAATCTGACAACCAAATCTTAAGTTCAGGTTTGGTTTTATAAATTTAAAAAACAATTTAACCCACGCGACCCAACCCACGCGACCCAGACCATTATAGTGTTTTTCTAATTAGTTTGAAGAATTTCTCATAGTTTAATTACTTACAAATTCAATTTACTCAAGTTTTCATTTTCTTTTTAAGTGCATTTTTTACTTTAATTAGTTAAATTACAAGAACTTTTTTTCTTGGAATTTTGTGATGGCTATTACAGTGATAATATGCTTGGAATTTTTGACAAGGCTATTGTACTTCACCCCAACTGCCATACTTGCTTCAATTATTCTTTCTGCTCTACCAGGACTTTCTGCTTCTAGCCAGGACTTGTTGACTCAATGAAAATCTACAATAAATCTTGGAAAGCTCGACAAAGCTAAGATTTTTCTTGCATTTGCATTGGGGCCTTGTTCCGGAGTGTTAATTCCTGTTTCGGTTGAGAGATAGGCCTACTCGCTGCGGTAACTTTTAACTTTATATATATATAATGTATTGAAATTTTTAAATTTTATATTTTTTTTTAAAACTAATTTTTAATTTTTTATATTTAAGATTAAGAATGGACAAGGTCGTACAAAGAGCATAAAATTAGACTTCGGCTTATGACAAGGTTCAATCATTATCAAAATGAGGAATGAGGTTTAATACAATTTTGGTATCCACACCATTAAGCATAGTTGATGCTTAGAGGCTTGTTTATAGCTTTTACAGCATGAATTAGATTTGCCTAAACCGAGTATATGGCCTTACTTATAGACTACATCAACGAAAAAAAAATTTTTTAAAAATTTTTGCTACTTCATCTTTTTTTTCTTTATATATGGTTATAAATACCTTTATTTCAATAAAAAAATTTTTTTATTGGTTTAATTCATGAATAAGCCTATATACCGAATCTAGATAAGTCAACTGGTTATAATACTCTCTCGGTCCAATAGAATAAGTTGAACACTAAGGAGTAATTAATTATTTTTTTTTAATTTAACCCTTATATACGTATTAAACACATTAAGAATATGAGATAAATGATAATTTAGTCAAATTAATGAAATGTCTTTTAGAATTAACCGATCTCTTAACTACCTTATAAAAAATTTTTCACAATTTATATTTATAAAGGGACACCGTGTATGATAGATATTCTAGAAGAAGAAATGGAAGGAGAATATTCAGCCTTAGGTTGTGGATAGCATGAATGGTTTAACAAGTGATTGGTGCTTAACACCCCACCACGTTTACCGATGTCATGTTCCATTGGATTTGAAAGTGACCAAAATGATGGTTCATTTATGGATGATTGACCATACAAATTCAAGCACTACCCACACTAACTTTCATCATATTCTTGGCTATTTCTTCTCTAATGAAGCTTGGAAGCACCTCCAATGTCCATGCGTTTAACTTTATTGTGCGAGTTGCAGGTGACTGTGTCGTTTTTAAGATAATCATAATATCAATTAAACCAGGCACAGAAGTTCTTGGAAGAATACCTGGAACTGATATGTTTTGTGATGTTCTGCAATATCCTATGGCTCTTGAGACTCCTTCTGTGCTTGTAATCCGTGTCAAGTCTGGCTTCCTCTGTTTTGCAAATGCCAACTTAGTCAAGCACAAGTATACATACATTACTCTTCCTTTCCATCTATTTTTCAGATATACAACTTAAATTCAATAATGTGCATATAAATAGTAATATTCCTTTTTTTTTTTTTAAGTATTATAAAATGGGCAACAGAAAAGGAAGAGGAAGAGAACATCAAAGGAAATGTGAAAAGGAAATGGGCAACAGAAAAGGAAGAAGAAGAGAACATCAAAGGAAATGTGAAAAGGCATCAAAGGAAATGTGAAAAGGAATATTATAAAATGGGCAACAGAAAAGGAAGAAGAAGAGAACATCAAAGGAAATGTGAAAAGGAATGTCCAACTTGTGATTCTTGACTTGTCCAGTAAGTCCTTAATAATTTTTTTTCATAAGCTTAATTAGTTAATCAAAAAATAAAAGAATCGATATTTTTTTATGTGACAGATTTAACAAGCATTGATACAGCAGGAATTGCTTGTTTGGAAGAACTGCGTAAGAATCTTGTTTTAAATGGAATAGAGGTACTAATTAGTATTTGTTATATCAACACATATATATTATTCTTTTTATTATTATTATATATTAATTTTTATGAACATTTTTTTTTTATCTCAGATGGCCATCACTAACCCAAGGTGGCAAGTGATTCACAAGCTAAAATTAGCCAACTTTGTGAACAAAATTGGAGAAAGGATTTTCTTGACAATTGATGAAGCAATTGATGCATGTCTCAGTTCTAAAATGGTTGCCATTTAAGTGAAAAGAAAATTATGTCTATTAGTATGCTTTCTTTCCTTTTCTTTTTTTTTGTGTGTCGTGTGTGGTCTTGTCTGTTTGTATGATTGTGTAATAGATATGGGAAATGTAATAAAAATGTGCTTTTCATCTCCTCTAGTTAGGACACTATAGTTGAAGTCCGAGAGGGAAAAAGCACCGATGTTTATGTAGAATATAAATTTTACATGTCAGCAACTGACAATTTTTATCTCACTTATTGCTCCCGATAGAAGCTATTCTACAAAATTAACCGTTTTAACAATTGTTATTTATTAGGTTTCACTAATGGTTAAAGGAATAAATATTTCATATCTGCTCCTTGAAATTTTAAACATTAATATCAGCGTCATATTATAAATAATAGAGATAGTGTTACCTGAAAAGTTGTGGAATCAGGTCAAAATAATAAAATCTGTAAACAGTGATGGAATAAAGAATTCTTCTCAGGAGACTAAAATAAATTTATTTAAAATAGCATATATATTTATATATATACATAGCTGCTGTAACTAAGACAGCAGGCGGAAATTTCAATAGAAAACCATGGTTTTGAATCTAAATAAAAATGTCAATAGCATCTTCCAACCTTTCATGGAGAAATGGAAAGAGCTATATATTAAAGATGGTGACATCTTATAATATTTTCAATTTTTTTCATTTTAGGTAAAAGGAATGAGAGGTAAGAATGCATAAGCAGGAGCAAGTGTTTTGGCTTTCCCCTCCACTTCTTCTATAAAGTAACTTCCAAAAAGTTAGCGTGGTCTGTCTTTAAATTTATTAGAATGGAAAAGCAAGTACATAGTCCAATTCTTTTATGAATAATAAATAATTATGCATTTCTTGTCTCAATACAAAATTAAGTTTTTTATTTTTTATTGAAAGAAAAATTAATCATTTTTTAGAAAAAAAATATATATGCAGAAATCTCGCAAAAAAAATAAAATAAAATAAAAAGCTTAAATGACATCTTTGCACATAAACTTCAAATTAGTGAGTTGACTTGATTTGACTAATGAAGTTGCATTTATGCTCCACTGGAAAGAGAAAACAACAACGAAACCCAATAAGTTGAGACAAAAGTTGAACTTGTGCTCCACTAGAATATGTGGCTAATCACACAACCTACAGCTACTAGCTATATATGCACAGTAGCATACAAAACAATCTTATGCTCTCAAATCAAAATAGGATTGAAGGTGTTCTTATGGTTTTCAAATTCAGATCGGATAGTACAGTTGAATCGGTTTAATAATCGAAAATATATCTATTTCATAGCTTGGATTTGTTATCTGCTCGAATCAGTCGAGTTTGGCTGATTTCCACCTAAATTTGGTTCGAGTTAATAATTGATAAAATGCAATTTTTTTTTTTTTATCAAACCCAAAATCTAATTATGTCATCAGAGTGCTAAACCATAGGCAGAAATCTTTTTTTTTTTTAATAATTTGTTAAATTACTTATATGTGTGTGTGTATATATATAACAATTGATTGTGGTTATAAATTAAACAAGTACACAGTTAATAGGGCATAATTAAAAAAGTAAGTTTTTATTTTTATTTTTTTGGAAATTAGAATTATATCCAAATATTTTAAGCAGTTTATTTTATTCAAGTTTTGAAAATTAGTTACAGTTGTATTCAATTAGTGAAATTACATGATCATCTTATTGATGTCTAGATTCACAAACAATTCAGTTGATTAAAAACCCTACTTACTCGCACCTTTCGAAGATGTCTAGATTCATTGTACCCTAACATTTTTATGTAGTGCTTAACATAACGGATGCTTATTTTGAACTTGTGAATTTTATATTTAGGGATCTGGAATTAATAAAAACAGCAAACACCTTTTCCCCAAAGCCAATGAAGCTCCCTTTTTTAATTCATATTTTCACTTTTCACTTTATGCGTTGTCTCTAAGGATGCCAATGAATAGCCACTTCCTTAATTGGCCTAAACATGTCTACATTCATTGTATCTCTAAGCCACATATTGCATTAAGGCAAGTGCCTCTATGTCAGACCACTCTTATTGAGGTTAAAAGCCATATTTTCAATATGAAACGCAGTTGAGGTTAATCCGTGTAGAGTGGTTGCAACGAAAAAGAAATACATTGTTGAAAGAAACTATTATAATTATGAATAATTGAATCAATTAATTAAAATGCAATTGTAATCTTAACCCCTTTGTTAAGATTAATTAATATCAACTCATCACTTGTTTATTTTAATTGATGTTTTCAAATCTGCAGAAGATTAGTTAAAGAAGAAAGGTCCACCAAAATCAAGAATAAGCCATCATCTTTGGCAAAACTTTCTTGAGACAGAAGAAAGTATTTTTAGTAAAAAGTAATTAAAAAAAATGAGAAAATTACCCAAAATTGGTGAATATTATGGGCCAATTTCATGGAGAATCCTAAACTAAGGATAGGCATGGCCTCCTGAAGAATATAATGAAGATACTCCAGTACAAATATTCTGTAATATTCTGTTCAAGTGATGCTCCTGGAAGAGGTTAAGGCCTATGGGCCTGGAATTTTGGATGAATCTGCTCACCTTTGATACAAGCTGGGCTTAGGACAAGTCCAAATTTAACCATCATTATTGCTAAAAAAGTGAATTACTATTTAATATTTCTATTATGTTCAAATATATTAATCAAGATTTCCATTTTTAAAATTTAATTATATGATCTCTTAATTTTATGTTTATTGTATCACCTAATCTTTTTTGAATTACTATTTAATATTTATTTAATATTTCTATTATGTTCAAATATATTAATCAAGATTTCCATTTTTAAAATTTAATTATATGATCTCTTAATTTTATGTTTATTGTATCACCTAATCTTTTTATTTATTTTTCATTAATTGTTTGTGAACTATGGTTATTGCTTTTAGTGAATTTATATACTAATTACATGAGATATAAAAATGCTGAAAAAAATTACTATTTAAAAAAAAAATACTAAGTGTGTTAGTCACTGCCCCAATCGGCTCAGGCCACAGATTTAGGTGTTAAATTCTGATTTGACCTCATAAAGCTCACCGACCCTTCGAGCACTGATGGAAGACGCTTTCCTCTTCCTGTAGGATCGTGGTTTAAGGCAGCCCGCAAAGTAGGTCATGGCTCTTAGATAGCAAAGTCAATATTTAGAACATCATGCATAACAGGATGATGTCGTAGAAGATCGAATATATATAAATTATAGCTTTTTTTTTTTTAGAATTTAATAATATTTTTTTGGTAACTAAAAGAACAAGGAAAAAAAAAGAATAAAATATCTCAAAAAGCTAATTCCACAAGTATCGTTCTAAAGAATTAAAGAAATTAGAATAAGAGCAGAAACCCACACATGAAGAGAGGAATATACGAATGACCCAACTTCGCCAAATAACCTATAGCAAAATTACTGAGAAAAACATGATGCATATAGCAATTTCAGTCCTAAAGCAACAATCCCTGGACATCCATAACTATAGCTGCTGAAGGATGAAAAGAAGGCAAAATAGAAGCAACCAATCGAATTGCTTTCAGGCTAACGGTTTCAACGATGAGAAAACAAAAACCACGCTCCCAAGCTAATAGAAGACCAGCCCGAGTAGCCAAATATTCCTCAATCTAAAATATTATAATAACCATTATTAAGGGAAAACCCCCTAACCAGAAATCAACGTTATCTCGAACCAGACCACAACCACCAATCAAACCAAGATTAGAAACATTGCTACCCTCACAATTTAATAATATAATTAATAATATTGTTTGCCGATACTATCCTACTTAATCCGAATAGTAAATTTAATATAAAAATTGAGTACTAGAGTGTTAAGATGAAACTAATTAAAGAATTTTATAATTGAATTCTGAAAATTAGGAATCCTCATTAAGAATGGAAATGTGGTTTGTATTGGCTAATTTCAAACTGCTCCCAACCAATTCCTTGAATATTTATCTTAGGGCCTATTGGTTTGCCGGTTTATATCAACCAATGAACGTTCTTAATTTTTAAAATTTTGGTAGCTATTGCTTTTAAAATTTAAAATCATCATTAAAGATATATAATTATTTTTTTATATATTATATATAAATAAAATTTCAGATGAATATATTATTTTTTATTTTTATGTATATATAAATAAAAATATTAATTAAAATTTTCAAAATAATATTTTATAAATTAAAATACATTGCTTCATTACCTTTTTAAACGGCCGCCACATTGCTTTTTTTAAAAATGTCTAGATTCATTGTATAAGGAAGGATGGTGCCTTCATTCTCATTTCTCTCACTTTGTTAATTTCTAAATATAGTTCTTATAAGTTATAATCCACTTTATGATGGTCGTCATCCAAATCATAAACCCACCCTATATTAAACATTTTCAATGAAATTGAATTTTCATAGTACAATGTCATTTTCCTAAAAGAAAAAAAAAAAAAAAAGAAAAATAATTGAACATAAATTAAACAACTCAATATTCATTTTGCACCAAACTGATAGAATCTGAATCAGAATATGAACTTGCTATTTGGGTTGAATCTTCTTCAACCTGGATATCTTCTTGTGCTCTATCTGTTGGGAAAAAAGAAGGTTTTGGAGGCATTATTATGCTTTCAACTTCTCCTTCAAGCATCTCTATAGCTTTATGTATTGGAGGACGATCACTGGGCTTGAACTGTATACACCATAATGCAACTACACATCCGATACATGTCCTTTACAAGGACGATCACTAGGCTTGAACTGTATACACCATAATGCAACTATAACCATTTTCTTGGTTATGTTTCTTTCCTCCTCACTAATATCTTCTGACTCAATGCTCTTTCCTTTACAAAAATGTTCATAAGCCCATGAAGGAAAGTAAATCTGACTCAAATTCTCTGCAAATGCATTAACATTCTTCCTTCTTCCCGCCATCTCCATTAACAACATTCCAAAACTGTACACATCAGCTTTAAAGGAAATACCTCCTATATTTGCGTAGCAGAATTCAGGAGCCATATAACCTATTGTTATTCTCTTTGCTGCTGTTAAAGCGTCACCGTGTTCTTATAATCGTTTGGGTATAATTTTGCAAGTCCCAAAATCTGAGATTTTCGGATTGAATTTTTCATCAAGAAGGATAATTGTGGGCGGCTTAATATCAAATGGCAATATTTGCATATCAAACAGTACCTCGATG